GTTTTTATCTGCAAAAAAACACTGTACATGGCAATTAGTTGAAATTTAGGAAAACCGTCACAAAATGCCTGCATGATATGCCTAGTTCTCTCTATATTCTGCATCAAAATGCATCAGTCATGCATAATTCTAGGTATATAAATTAGCCAGTACATCCAAAGGGACAATAATGATTTTGAACAATGCACTATTAAATCCCTGAAGGATCTGCTGAGTCCTGTTTCTTCATTTTAAAAAAAGTGTTTTATGCAAGCTAGCTTACTTTGCTTCTAGAAGGCCATAAACACAGCCAGACTTAAACGTTTAGGAAAGAAACCTACTAAAAGGCTTCCAGATGTGTTAGGAGGTGGGAATGGATGTGGGAGAAAGTACTCTTATTCACTTAAACAACCGCTCTAAGGTTGTATTTATGTGCATATTGGCCATAGCTCAGAAATATTAATTTTTGGACAATAGCCTCCAGAATGCCTCAGCTAGCATGGCTTACACCGACTTGCATTCTCCAGTTAAATGGGTTGAGCTACAGCCCGCCCAATCCCGATGCTATCTGAGGATGACTGGAATTGACTCAGTGGAACTCCTCTCATGAGATTTACTAGGCTAAGTGACAGGATTTTGGCCAGTGTTCAACCTCAGTCTTGAATTCAATTAATATTTCAACTTTCAGTAAACACTGCTCACTCATTTAAAATATCTCCTCACAAGGTCTAGAAACTTTTCAACTTCGTCAACACACAAAAGAAAAAGCACACACACTTGCACTGTGTAAGCTGCTGGGCATTTTCTGATCTGAGAAAAATTCAGGTGTGTTTGAAAGTTAGCAGTAGCGGTAGGTTTGTGGTTAGGATTAAATGTACTAATCTTATACTTTTTGCAGCAACTAAGAATTACAATCTCCTCCATGAACTGAGCCAATTTACTGTTAACTAGTTTATATAATCTCTGTTCCTCAGCACTATGGTTTGCTTGAGAATGAAGGACACAAGACATATTTTGTTTCTGATACAGTATATTAGTTGAAAGAAAAAACTACTCTAATAGAAAATACAGATGATTTGTTTGGATGGTTTTTGCCACAGCCAGTTTTTATCTGCAAAAAAACACTGTACATGGCAATTAGTTGAAATTTAGGAAAACCGTCACAAAATGCCTGCATGATATGCCTAGTTCTCTCTATATTCTGCATCAAAATGCATCAGTCATGCATAATTCTAGGTATATAAATTAGCCAGTACATCCAAAGGGACAATAATGATTTTGAACAATGCACTATTAAATCCCTGAAGGATCTGCTGAGTCCTGTTTCTTCATTTTAAAAAAAGTGTTTTATGCAAGCTAGCTTACTTTGCTTCTAGAAGGCCATAAACACAGCCAGACTTAAACGTTTAGGAAAGAAACCTACTAAAAGGCTTCCAGATGTGTTAGGAGGTGGGAATGGATGTGGGAGAAAGTACTCTTATTCACTTAAACAACCGCTCTAAGGTTGTATTTATGTGCATATTGGCCATAGCTCAGAAATATTAATTTTTGGACAATAGCCTCCAGAATGCCTCAGCTAGCATGGCTTACACCGACTTGCATTCTCCAGTTAAATGGGTTGAGCTACAGCCCGCCCAATCCCGATGCTATCTGAGGATGACTGGAATTGACTCAGTGGAACTCCTCTCATGAGATTTACTAGGCTAAGTGACAGGATTTTGACCAGTGTTCAACCTCAAAAGATTGCCCTTCCTTTTACCACACAAGATCCTCTAGAAAAGGAGAGTGCAACATGTAGATGTGATTTGACTGCAACTCCCAAGAGTCCTTGCCAGCACATCCAGCACAGGGGGGTGTTGGAAAAAAGGGTCTACAGTAACAACATCTAACATTATAGAGGGGGCCGTTTGCTCATCCCTTCTCTAGAAGATCCACTGGGAAACAGGTATCAGTCTTCTAGTTGTCTCATGAGAATAGACAAGCTGGCTTCATGATATCAGACCATACCTTATTTTGAAGGAACCAACGTTTTTGAATGCTCGTCATTTGGCAGATAAAAACTAAACCAGAACTGAAATGTGTTATTCTGCATTCTCCTAAGCAATTTGTTCTATGAATCACAGGCTCTCCCGGATAATCCTCTTAGGTAACACCAGCAGGGGGAAAAAACCCCAAGAAGGAACATTTGAAAAACAGCAGCTAGTGATGCACATGAACACAACACTATAAGAAGGGAGGAGTGGGTAGCTCTTTTTTTGTAATTAACTGGGACGAGGCTTCTAGAATTGAACAGAGCTATTATAATAACAGCAAACTACCTATTCAGAATGAGAAAATTTCTTCTCCAGATAAACCCTTCCAACCACTTCAGAACAGAATGGGCATTGAAACCACACTATGGAAAACTTTCCAAAACAAATCTAAGAATATCTACACCGCCACACCAAACAAAGGCAGTATGTCCTTATGCTATGGTGCTTGAGAATTGCTGTCCTCTTATCACCTCCTACTCAAATACCATGATTGTGCATGAAGAAGTAGCCTGATCCCTCACTTTGCCATCTGTACTCAGCTGTGTTTGGGATCTAAATATGTCACACCTAGCCACACATTGCCCAACCTTCCTCCTAAACCTTAAAGCACACAAAGGCCCAAATCCTCATTTCTTAATGAGACAGGGAAAAGAACTACCTAATTCTTCAAAGACAGTAACACAGCTGCTTCTGATACACAACTACAAAATCAGTAGTCTTCTGGCACTTTGAATGCAAACATGTTTGTCAGTCTTTAAGGTGCCTCAAGATTATCTGTTATTTTTGCTGAAACAGACCTAAGATGGCTAAGATTCCTCTGGGAATACAGTACTTGCAAATCAAACTGAATCAAACCACAACCCTTTCCCCTTTGTAAACACCCATGTTCTTAAGACAACCAGCTAGCAAGGCCAATGGTCGGCAATAAAAAGATTCAAGAGAATCTAGGGTATACCAGGCTGTCATATCTGTTCAGCAAAGGAAAAGAGAGAAATGTAGACCTTTCATGTGCTGTTCTTTCCTTCCTTCCTTCTTTTTTTCTTTGTATCAGAGGAATTGCAGCATTGCTGATTAAATTCTCATTACATTCAGTGCAGCAACTGGGCAATGTCAAGGTTAAGAACAAAAAAGGAAAAGAAGAAAATACAAAATATGGGGTTTGGTGCAGTTTCAGTTTCTTCAAAAACATTTTGAAAAAGTAGCTTTCTTCTTATGTTTAACAAGATATGTCTGGTTGTGGATGTGCAGGCAATAACCCAGTGAAATCTCAGAAACCAGACAGCCTGCTAATTAAGGTTTTCAGTGAATAGGGTCAATTGGGGTGACAGGCAGTGTAGTGTAGCAGATGGAGTGTTAGACTAGGACTCAGGAGAACTGTGTTCAAATGTCAGTTTAGCCATAGAAACTCACTGAAGTGAGGCACTCCTGAAATCATTCCCTAAATGTCTCCCATACTCCAGAAACCTCATGATGGCTGACGTAAGTTGGAACTGACTTAACAATACTGTATGTAACAGGGTGGGGCAAGGCTTCCATCTCCTTACCTATTTCCTTCTCATGACTAGTAGTGGAAAAATAAATAAAGGAAAATCAGATGCTGTACATAATAAATCTAGAAAAGGAACATCACATAGGCAGTCTGAATAACACATACATTCATATATTTTATAGAATATGACAAGCTGTTCTTGTCACAGAATTCCGCATTAAATAAATGAATATATAAAAACAAGTACAAAAGAGAGAAGACATCAATTGCTTTGCCTATTAGATAGGTGAAACATTTAGATAAACATGATGTTAGATGTGAGGAAGCCATGTCAGATAAGGCTGGGAGACCATGACCTGACATTCGGATGGGGTGGGCTGGGGTAATGAATCTGATCCAGAGCTGCCAAATTCCAAAGGGCCTCTAGCTGCATGTTTGTGCATTTGGCTACCTCGCCTTTAAAAACAAAACTTGAAAGACTTTGTGTTCCAGTTACAGCCATGCATCAACATTTTAAAAACACAATGTTCGGAATGAACCTGAAATCTGAACTATCTGTAACATAGATAAGTAAATGGATGAAAGGTGAGGAACATCAATCTCAGTCGCTGGCATGGACCCGATTTGTCCACGACATCTTTTTGCTCAGCAATATAAAGATAAAAACAGAGCACAGAAGGTTTATTTGAGACCTACAAATTCCAGAATTCCAGGCCAGCACAGTATGAATATACTGGCTGGTGGATTCTCAGAATTGTAGTTTAAAAAAAAAAAAGGCAGTGTTTTCCAGATAAAAATACACCATTGCTCCACACAGGCCTCTGTGGCCAGCAAATTATTCAAAGCCTACACGGAGCTCCAAGCCCGCTCTGGTCCATGGAAGCCTTCTTATGCCAGGTCAAGAGAGGACAACTTCCATATGCGTGGGTGGGGAGGAGTGGGGGGGGGAAGGATTGGAAAGGGTTGGCCTTGGTGACGTCTCAATGTCATATGCAAATTTTGCGAACGTCAACCCAGGCTTCCAATCCCAGGCAGCCAATGGGAAAACAGAACCACCTTTAATCTTAATCCTTGGGTGAAGGAACAAATAACAAAAGAGGCAAAGACAAGGGAAATGATTAGGAAGAGCCGAGCAGGAGTCAGACGGACTAACCATCCGAAGCGCTGTTTTTCCACCAGGAAGCCTAAAGAAAAGTGGCAAATTGTGTTTTTCACTTTTAAATAGCCTGCTCTTTGTTCCTTTTTACCTGCTGGAAAGAGAAGACAAGCGCCCACAGCCGGGTAATGTAGGCTGTAGTTTACGAAAGCTTATTATGGCACACCACCAGACCTCTACTAAAGTCTCTTTTATGGAGGGTTTTAAGGGTCTTACCGACCCATCTTGGCAGGGATAAAGAATTTCCATAGAAGGGTGAACGTGGCAGATTTTCCTCCCCCCCCCCGCTGACGCCGCATCCCGATCCAGAAATACATGCACTAAAACAAAAACACATTTATACCCAAAGAAAAGTGGTTCAGTCGATGCTTGTCGTTCTATCCCTTGCAGAGATTCATTCAACCCCAGAGAGAGAGAGAGATCCCGACCTTAACCAAACGAAACAAAAGGAGGGCATAGTGACCATCAAAGCAGCGCCAAAAAAACAGCTAGCCAAGCCTGCAATTTTAAATCGACCGATGACACATCCACACGAAGCGGTAGCTGGCAGACTGAAGGGGGGCAACGGACGTCTTCCCTTCCTAGCTAGTTTCTGTCTTGCTCCCAGGGAAACAGCTGAGCGAAAAAAACAGCCGCCAGGCCCGCCGAGCGCTCTCTGATCTGCAGTTAATTATGAGGAACATTTTCCATTCGCCATCGCCTCTTATGACCTCAATGAAACAGGCTCCACACAAACAAGGCAATGTTTTGCTTTCTTCTTTGCCTCCTCCTTTTCCCTCTTCCCGTTCCGTCTTCTCTCTCTCCTGCCCCCCCCGCCGAGTTTTATTAATATCTGCATCGTTTTGTTGTTGTTATTGCCGCTACTGGTCCCCGAAGGCAGTCAAGACAATAGAGTCTTCTTTCATAAAAGTAAGAAAGGGAGTCAGTTACAAGAGAGTCAGATACTCATTCTTTCTTTTTCACAGCCTTCCGTTTAATAACGAAGCCCTTCACAAATAAATAAAATGCATCTATGCAGTTGTTTAGAGGATACGTTTTTCTCCCTGGAGCACTATACTGTCAGAAGCCATATATATGTGGAAGTCAAACGGGGTGATTTTCGCTTATATGAAAGAAACATAAGCTTTTCCTCACTAAGGTTCAGAACGCTCGAGTATCTATCTCTCCCTAGAGTCCAAGATCGTCTTGCTTCTAAATTCGAAACAAAGATCTTTCCTTCCTGATGTTTATGTGATCTACCGCAGGATAATTTCTTAATTCTTTTTCTGCCAACCACAGGACGAAATTACAGTACATCGCGTCCATAACAACATATTCATAAAGCTATGGTGGTGCACCGAGCCGTACAGAGACTACTAAATATAAGACGGAATACAAAATGACACACCAGAAGGAAATCGATTTGAAATGAATGCCACGTGCCATTAGGGGGGGAAAAAGGAGCTTAAAACCAAAAGGATCGGCTCTTAAAACATCAGTGGCAAGATCGATGTCTCTCACACGGAGTGTTCTCTTCCACCAGGAAGAGAAGATTCCCAAGTTTGAAAATAAACTCGCTTGCAGGGGTTAGCGGAGGAGAAAAGAAGAGGTAGTACTTACCTTGCCTTTAATGTCATCAAATGTTTTGTAAACAACGCCACACACACACACACGTACACAAAAAACCCACAAAAAATAAGCACCAGCTTTAGGCAGTCTGTGAGGTAGTTTTAATTGAAGTGAACCAAAATCAATAATAGATTTAAAAAAAAGACCCTTCTCCCCTCAAAAAAAAAAGATGCAGGGAGAGGTGATGGTGATGTAAATGGTGTCTCTGGTCTTCTTAGAAGATATGCACCATTGCAAACTGCACGCAGCTGCCCTCCCGTCCGGATGCCCTCCCTCCCCTGGCTGTAGTCTCAGTATTATTATTTTTCTGTTATTGCTGAATCCCCACTTGATCTCGGCTGAGAAATTAGAACGTTCAAACAGCTGATTGTGACGTCACAAAGGGACCCGCCCACCGCCGGCGTCGGAGCCGCTCCGAACAGCCAATGACAAAAGGCCAACGGCAGAAAGGCGGAGCTTTTCGAGCCGAGGTGGGGGGAGTTTTTTGCGCTCCACGTGAGCGCCCAGACCGGTGGAAAGGGGAGGGGGTTGGCGACGGGGCCGTGGAGGTAAGTTGGAGTACGGAGTGCGACAGTCTGGTGAGCGAGATCCGGAGATTTGGTCGTGGGAGGCGAGGGAAAGGAGAGAAAACGGGACGCTCCCCTGGAAAGGCTGAAGGGCCGAGCCGTGAAGATTGCCTCTTCAGCCCTCACGGCATAGGTGACTCCTCGAAAATGTTGGGGGGGGGGACCCCTTTCTCTCGATCCGTGCTCCCCCTCCGGCAAGTCCTGGAGTGAGTACGGGACTTTGTGTTACGTTTAAAAATAGAAGGTGTAGCTGCAAGAACTGCGATGTTTAGGTTGTGGAATGTAAATGTGCATCATGAAAAAATAATTTAAGACTCTCACGGGACCTTAAAGGTTAACAAGGTTTATTTCCAAAGAAGTAGTCGTGTTATGTCTTTCTCAGCACGTTGGCAGAACTGAAGGGGGAAAAGGGGGGGAATATTGTGGTAATCTAAAGGCTAATATATTTATTTCAGTGTGAGCTTCCCTGGATCAAAATCCACTTCTTCAAACACAGAAAATGCAAGTATATGGCCTGTGTACACTGTGATGTGGCTGCAAAAAAGGCAAATTCTCGCAAGTACTGTATATGGCCTCTATACACTGTGATGTGGCTACAAAAAAAGGTAAATTCTATTTTGGGCTGCATTAACAGAAGTATAGTTTCCAAATCCCGAGAGGTGCTAGTCCCTTTCTATTCAGCACTGGTTAGGCCTCACCTTGAGTATTGTGTCCAGTTCTGGACACCACACTTCAAGAAGGATGCTAACAAATTGGAACAAGTTCAGAGGAGGGCGACAAGGATGATCAGGGGGCTGGAAACCAAGCTTTTTGAGGAAAGGCTGAAAGAATTGGGCATATTTAGCCTTGAGAAAAGAAGACTTGGGGGGTGATATGATAGCACTTTTCAAATACTGTATTTGAAAGGCTGTTGTACAGAGGCGCAAGATCTGTTCTCAGTCATCCCAGAGTGCAGGACATGCAACAGTGGGCTATTACAGGAAGCCAGATTTCGACTGAACATCAGGAAAACTCTTCTGTTAAAGTTGTAAAACCGTGGAACCAATCGACGCAACAGTGGGCTGTTACAGGAAGCCAGATTTGGACTGAACATCAGGAAAACTCTTTTGTTAAAGTTGTAAAACCGTGGAACCAATCACCTGGAGAGGTGGTGAGTGCTCCAACACTGGAAGCATTCAAAAGAAACTTAGAGTACCATGTGGCAGATTTCGTTTGATTTGTATTCCTGCACTGAGCCTGAGGTTGGACTAGCTGGCCTTATTAGGATCCTTCCAACTTCATTATTCTATCAATCTATATTAATATGTGTTAATAGAGGATATGGCCAGGTGAAGATCCAGGAAACAAATAAGTGACAGTGGTTTCTTAACAGGAATAGAGCGATCAAATTATCAGTTGCCTGACCGAATAGGTTTAATTTGGCTTTTGTGGACTGTAGCCTGGGAAAATGTGTGTTAAATCAAAATACTGTTCATTTTTCATGAAAGTGCCCTAAGGTTTTTTGTTGCTTTTTGCTGCAACAGACTGACATGGCTCCCTGCCCCTTCCCCAGGCAACATTTCACTGAAGGTCACAAATAGCTTGCTATTCTGTTATGCCCAGCAGTAGAATTCTTAAAGAAGGTTGGCTAACTTGTTTGATTGCTTTGAGTTACATACTGCCTCATAGTGTATTTGTAGCACTCTCTGGGCAATGTACAACATAATTAGGCAAGGAACACTTGCTCCCCATGAGCTGGGTACTCATTTAAATAACCTCAGAAGGATAGACAGCTGAGTCAACCTTGACTGGGCTATTTGAACCCCTCGAGACCACACTAAGGTCATGAGTCTTGGCTGCAGTACTGTAGTTTAACTACTGCACCAGAGGGTTTGCTTTGTTGATAGATAGTCACTGCCCTTCTTTGGCATATATATAGGCAGGCAAAATGTGGCTCTCTTGTTGGACTGCAACTCTTATCAGCCCTAGCCAACATAGCTACTGGTGAACAGTGCTGGGAGTTGCAGTCCAATTACTACTTTGTCTTATTCTATTCTAAGCATTAATTTATTTCTTACATATAATCATTCTTCTTAGAGATGTAATAAATACATAGAAATGTTTTTCATCAAGAATTTCAGTGTCAGACTCTCCTGCATAACTCTTTCCATTTCCTGTGTGACTTCTTGGCACTGCAACAAGAGTGAGACATGAAGACTCTCACCCACACCCATACATTGCCACTTAACTCCCTTTTCCCCCTGATCAGAAGATATAGTTCTGTACAAAATAAAGCAATCCATCTGCAAACTCCTCAGGATAGTTGAAAAGGATAGGGGGCAGTCTTCAAAAAATAGGGATTCCTGTTGAAAAACAGTTTCAGTAATGCTCTGCTCTTGATGATTTATTTCTTCAAAGTGTTTTGAGAGCAACGTTCACTTCACTTTCTAAAACTGCAAGTGCTTCATCACAGGTGTCTTCTTCAAAGACAGCTGTCATCCTTGTATCTCTTCTGTGCAGTTCTTCAGTAGATTGTTGCCACCTTCTCTTTATTTTATTCTGGTCAAGTGTGTTCCCATGTTGATCTTTCAGCATCATTGTATATCCCATGCATTTTATCCATATTTTAAAACAAGTAAAAACTTTGTAGTGTGTCAAAGACTAACCAATTTATTAGCCTGAGGAAATTGATTTCATCCATGAAAGCTTGCTATTTGTTTAATATTTTAGTAGTGCATTAAGAGTGATCACTCTTTCTTGCATTTGTGTAATTGTGGGGACCACATAACCTATTCCATGTTCTTTCTGATGAATTTATTGTGGCATATGGCAATAAAATGGTTTCCAGTTGAAAATAAAACTTTTAGCCTTTGAATTGCCACAAGAGTCTTCATTATTATTTTTGCACAGTATAATAAGAGAGTCACCCCATTAGATACTGTTATCCCAATATTCGTTGTCACTCCCCTTTCCAGTGGAAGTGTTCTTCCTATCATAGAAATAGTAAACTTATTTTCAGCTGAAAACAGCTGAGGAATCAGGAAATGATGGAAGAGATAAATCAACCCTCAGCTTTCCTGGCTAAAAAGATACTGGTGGAAAAAGTAATAAAAAGTCGTTTTGTTTTGACACAGTGAGAGACCATGAGGCAAGGAAGTGACTTGGAACTGTTTAACACAACTGTGGTTGCAGGAATTCACTTTGGTGTCTCCGTTTCCATGGTACAGATAAAGGAAGCTAAACTTAGTGACTCAACTGTGGCTGTACATTTGCAGATTCTTTTACAGGCCCAACTGCTAGGGCTAGAAAAGTGGCTTTAGCAGAAATATAACTGTTGGCATAAAAATGTCAGGAACTAGATGCACATCTTATAACTAGAGTTAGCTTATTTCTGGATTGCAGGTTAGCTAGAGTGTCCAGTAGAAGTGATGTTTCCAAGTTCTGGATATCAGTGAGTAGGGATGAGTATTGATCCCATTTAATCTCCAATTCCTCTTATGTTTCAGGGTCATGTGAAAGAGATTGAGTTTAGCTACAAAACATATTTGTAT